TGTATGTATGTATGTATGTATGTATGTATGTATGTATGTATGTATGTATGTATGTAGTAAGTATGTCTGTATGTATGTATGTATGTATGTATACATATACAATATTTCTTTTACATGTTTTTTACGGTATATTCTCTGAATATCTTGTATGTTTAAATGTCAGGTTGCCGGGTTGCCGGATCCCATGGTTTTAGTTAAGGAGATGTCGTGAAAGTCAAACCGCAGCAGAACAGTTTTCAACAATATTGCGCTGATATTGCATACGTTTGCTTGAGGCAGTGATGATGGGTGTTGGATGGTGTTGGTTTACGGGGAATCGCACATCCCAAATAAAATGCGAAATGAGGTCCGGAGAGTTTTCAATAATTACTGCAAGGACCATTTTGCGCTTGTAATTTGCACAGGCAAGATTTTCACCATATTGACTGGTAAGAGACCTAAATGTGTACCTGTTGTACCGGTTTCATACCACCCTAAGATCTCAAGCAACTTCTTGACCATAGGTACAGTGTGTTTGCAATGTCCAATGTCTTCATAGCGTACGCAGGTACAGTAATGGACACTGGCATTAGACCACCAGCAAAACCAAAAAGATGTCGCAAGCAGGAATATCCAATCACACGGGATCGAACAACGGCGGGTTCTTCATAAACGCTTTCATGCTGCTCAGTTGTTGAAAGTTGAACTGCCAGCTCAATATATAGCCCCTTTGACTGCAGCCCAGACATTTCTTTTGGTTTTGCAATATGGAGGACCAACAGATGAACAAGTAGCAGCAAAGCTAAAGGTTGGATGCTTGGTTTCGGAGTGAAGAACTTGATCTCATTATCTCATGACCAATGTCGTGTGTTTGCGTGTGTGCGCGGAGATACAGCATTCGTGAAACTCTATATATATATATATAGCCAATGATTGTGAAGCAAGGTTCAACGGTGATAAATATTAGTATATATATATATATTATATCAGCTCTTTGATCTTTGGTGCTGCTTCAGACGGATGTGCATCATGCACGTTTCAGGATACGATTGTGCAAGCTTACAACGCTGGTGTGCACCTGACACCTTTAATGTGTGCAGCGAGTGTGTTGTTGCCGACGCGCCAAGTAGATCAACTTAAGACCTAAATTCCGTGTGTCATAGAAGCATGTTGCATTCGTGATGAATGGATATCGGATAGTGCAAGCAAATACCGGCATTTGCTAACGCAATAACATGTGTAGGCCACAATAGGTGTCGAGGCAAGTGCCACCGCTCTGACTGCTTCTCAAGTCTCAAGAAATTGAGATGTAGAATAGACTGCCGATCTGCTGATTGCAAGCAGATTGGCTGGTAGAATGTCAGCTTGATTCACCGGATGTGCTTGCACTGGATGCCGTCAAGATGATCGGTGCATGTTTGACAAGAGCCTGGGGCCTCTCAGGAACGCCTTGAAGTTGTGCAAGGAGTGGATGGCAGTGGCAGTTCACCAAAAGTATATAATCAGGTGGACAGCAGTTAAATTGGTGAATATAGCGGTTTTGTACCTTTCATGTCAGTCACTCTCAGAGGTCCTTTGGTGCTTTGGGAGCTGGAGGAAACTTTGTGAATGAACTTGGATATTGGATATTGTCCTTCAAGTGAAATCTATTGGCCTTCGGCCATAGAAGTACTGTAGATACTTATGCTCGCTGAGCGCAATTCAAGTCACCTCCCACTTCAAGGACACGACTTGAATATCAGTGCTGTTACTGTTGTTGCTTTTGAGGTTGACACATGCACAGTGTTTTTGTTCTTGTTGAAACTCTTCAATGCACAATTAAATAAAAGCAATGCTCAACTTTCCAAAACATTGAACTGGGCATACACATAGGACTGCTACACCACAAACCCTGCATAAAAATGGACCACGTGCTGTGAGGAAGAGGCTCTTTGGCAAAGGTCCTTGCATCTCCTCAACTATTTCCCGGTTGTTGATGTTTCCGCTTGGGATGCTGCAACTGTCGCTTGCGGTCGCGCTGGACGTTGGGAGGTTTGCCTTTGGTTGCTGCATGAACGCTGGACAGTTGATACCCGCGCAACGTGGAAGGCTGGACAAGGACACTCTGTGTGACACTCCAGACGCTTCAAGCAATGGAGGTTGATTAGGTTGGTTGAGGTTCTGTGCAGCTTTTTTGATGCCTTTTTATGCTTTTGCACACGCTTGTCCAAAATTTTTCTAGATCTAAAGCATTATCAAGGCCTGACTTGGTCACGAGTCACCATTTTTGAAGGATTCTTCTCTGTTGTGGGTTTAAGGAGTGGCTCAAGTTCACTCGTTGTGGAGTTGCTTCATTCTACTGAGGCAGTAAACGAGCAACGTTCCACGATGCCAGCTTTTCATATTTGCTTCATGCAGTATCTCAGTATCTCTTTAATCAGCAAGAATTTGCCCGTTGCATTCACTCCTTTGTAGGAAATCCTGGTTGTGGTGCTACCATCAGCTCCTGTGCTCGCGCAAGCCTGTGGCCATTGGCTTTACGTTTGCTTGCTGTAGCTCGTCAGCAGCGACAGCCATTGGCAGACAGCAGCTGCAATGCTGCGATCAGCGCCTGTGTTCGAGTCGCAGCATGGAGCCGGGCGCTTCGCATTTTGCAGGTCGGTGACCAATCAACCAACAATAGCTCCTAGTAGCATCCTTGTTACTAGTAGTAAGGCCAGGAGCCCCTAGTAGTGTCCTTGCTCCTAGTAGCGATGCCCTTTGCTCCTAGTAGCGTCCTCTACCCCCCCCGGGTGTTTACAATAAACTGTTTATCCTTATAATCTGCATAGGGAGTGATTCCTTTTCTCTTACGGCGTATAATAGCGCAGATTCGTGTCGCTTGAATGTCTCATAATATGTCTTTATTGTGTGAACATATGGGTTTGTAGTTTTTTGGGCGTGCACTTCCGGATGTAGTGGTTGGAAGTTCGACTTGAGCGATTCATACCCTCGAATCATACCCCCGAATCATACCCCTCAAAAAGGTACACGTAAGAACCAGGTGTTAAGGTGAAGTTTTTGGTTGGTCTTTGTGCCCTGTACATGTCCATGAGCCAATGGTGCATGACGGTTGCAATTGTGTGATCCATGGGCACTCAATTTGGCCAAAATTGTTTGTCTTCTTGTGGGAAGAGCAAAGGCTCACATCCCAGGGCTACTCCTAATGTTCCCATGTGCTCTCCCTTGGGAAGAGCCAAAGGACCGCCTTCTTTTGCAGAATCTAATGGCCATACGAATCACACCCGACTCATGCCCGATTCATACCCGAATCACGCGCCTCCACACAGTTTCCCACCCATCTCACATCCTGGTTGTTTTGGTGGGGCCTGCAGACGGCCACTGGAGTCTTTGGTGGAAGAGTGCATTTGCCTAGTCTGCCCAGCATCCAATAGATGCTGCTTGCCTACTGCCTCGGCGCAGAGTGGGCCCACTGCTGGAAGTCCAACTAATCCAACCATACAACTTCAAAGCTGCGAATCATCTGCGAATCATGCTCTCGAATCATACCCCCGAATCATACCCTCAAATCATACCACCTATTCAAACTTCCCGGCCCGACTAGGGTAAAAAAAATGCACACCCATATTGTGGAGAAGGAAGCAAACCTAAAGGAGGCAACTGGTTATGCATTCGCTACTCACTCCAAGCTTGTAGTGAAATATAAGTAGCTTCTCCGTTGCAACTAGCGTGACCAACCTATACCACAAACATATCCAGCATTGTCCAGCAAGGATCAACAAGATTCTAAGATGAATGGAGTTTAGTATGGTCAATGGTCGACTTCCTTCATGACGGTAGTGTTTCTATTGTTGTCCAGCCAGAGATTCGGTCAACCTTCGCTGTAGGAGGTGCCTAGAGCCAACGAAGGAGGTTATAATGTGACGATTGCAGTTTGCAGTGAAGGGCGCCAATGGGAGCGTGCGATACAATTGTTGCAGCTGACTCTTGGGCAGAAGGCATGATTCATAATTCCGCCAGGAACGGTCAATCGGTCAATTGGTAGAGGCCCAACGCCAGACAAGGCCATAAGACGTGATGGTGGCATTGGTGGCATTGCATTTGTAGTTTGCTTTGACCTGTGTGTGGCTCAGGATGAGACAGGCAACTCGCCGTCCTGATGAATTCACCTTCAGTTCTCTAATAGCTGCCTGCCATCGCTCCACCACCTGGGAGGTGGCAAGTGGCCTGCTTGACGCCATGCCCAGTTTGCAAGTGACACCCAATATCCTGAGTCATTGCTCCATGCTGACCTCGTATGTGAAGGCACGCATTTGCTCAGTGTTCCCTTCCACATTCTCTCACACATTGCTTGATTGCTGTGTAATGACATCCTCGCTTGAGTGCTTGTGACGCTTCTGCATCGGGTTCCCCGGCTTAAGATTATCAGATTTGGTTCAACTGTGAGTGAGGCCTATCATTGGGCACGTGCGTTGGAACTCTTCAATCATGCCATACTTGGGGGAGATTCTGACTCTACGAACCTTGTGGCTTGCACCGTGGCGTTCCAAGCACTTCAATTGGCAGGTCCGTCATGGACGAGAGGAGCGAAGCGGCTTTCGAATCACATGGGAGCCCGGCACGATGTGGTGAGCAGCTCGGATTCGCATCCAGCATCCATTCATGCGTGAAAATAATGTATCTACCTTACCAATAGTAGCCTTTTTGTACTTGCTCGAAACTTGTGCAGAGCAGGTAATGTTCCTTCAATATACCAAAATGGCCAGGGGCCTGAGGTTCTGACTGCGTCTGCTTCGCAGAAGTCAAAAGACGCGAGTGGACCGCGCGTCATGAAAACATGGTTTCGACGCGAAACATTGCGACGGTAAATGTTGGATGCTGATCAGTAAATGGGCCCTCTATAATGCTAATTTTCCAAAATTATTCCAGACCCCATGTTTGAAAAATGGTTCCTGAATAATGCTAACTTTTTTGGGTGCCCTAAATTTTCAATTTGGAAACCCAATTAATAAGGGTTTGAATTCCTTCTGAGGCCAATGATTATGATTCATTAGCTGATATAGCTTTCTCTAGG